ATAAAAAAAAATCAACAGTAACGAAAAACAGTCTTGTTAAATGACATCATGTTTTTTCCGTTGGAATTGTTGTGGACTAATACATGTAGGCCTTTATTATTATATTATTATTTGTTTATGATATTTTCTGATTCTGCACAAATGTATTCATCTATTTTTTATGACACAAGAAGCATCCAAGCCATGCTCTCAGGTATAAAAGGTATTGGCTGAAAGTGCAGCTCAGGCCTCTTGCCGTCTCTGTGCCTGTACGCTGCATGCCCTCTAACCTCTTCATTTCCCTATTCTCAGTAGCTGCAGTGCTGCAGCTTTTGACAGCATGTTAACAGCGCTGCAAAAGGCCCCAAAGAAATGTCTTGGATTAGCGGTCAGATTTCCCATTTCCCATAGACGCACAAGGTCCTGAACCCAATTAATGTCTAATAATTACCAGGGCGACTTCACCGTGACCGCTGCTGGGCGCTGCTTCATTAAAGGAGAAGGAGGCAGCGGCCCGCTGCAGATGACTCCTTTTAGAGACTTTAGGGGGAAAAATGGATTTTGTGATTGATGGAATCCGGGGGAATTTCTGTTGATCAATCTTTTACAATCTTTGTCATATATGAAGCAAGAGAGGAAGCTCGTTTTGCAGTCAGTGGTGTTGTATTGTAAATCCAAGTCCCTTCTTCGGGCTCTAGGTATAGTGACTTTGTTTACTCCCGTTCCACCAAGTGGGTCTGAAATCCAGTTAGCAAATTTACAATGCTCACCGCGCCCACAAGAAAGGCTCGCTGCGGCTTTTTGATGTCCGCAATGCAAGGTGCTCCATTTCACATTTCTGATATGCCTCGATGTTATCTGCGCACGTCTAAGACCCAGAGCCCTCTCCATCGCGGATAAAGCTTGTGTTACAGCGGCTTACAGGCATGTGTGTGTGTGTGTGTGTGTGTGAGTGTGTGTGTGTGTGTGTGTGTGTGTGAGACCGAACTTGTGTGTGTGTGTTGGGGGGCGGGACGGGGGCTGGAGAGGAGAAGGTCTGACCACTGCAGACCAGGAAACCTCTGTAACCCTGCCTCAGCAAGCATCCGCGCAGAGTGCTTTAAATTAGTTGGATTTTAAACTCATTATTTACTTCATTGTCATACAAATGTATGGTCACTCAATCAATCTACTTTTTTCTTTAGAGGAATTGTGGGATTAAAAACGCAGGTTGTGAAATATTTTTGCAGAATATTTCTTATGCATCTGACATATCTATTTGATAAATAATATATATATATATATATATATATATATATATATATATATATATATATATATATATATATATATATATATATATATATATATATATATATATATATATATATATATATATATATATATATATATATATATATATATATATATATATATATATATATATATATATATATATATATGCATGTGTGTGTGTTTGCATTTTTTCCACATATTTCTTTTATTTTAGGTTGTCTAAGCAGTGGCGATTCCAAAGGCAAACCGTGCAGGGCTATAACCACCCCTATAACTTCTTATGCTTGTTCAACTGTAGCTACTTTCTGTTTCGTCGGCCAAATAGTCCAATATATTTATGTTGCAGACTGTAATGATACCAGTAGTCCAGGAGAACTATCATATTATAAAAATCCAAAATAAAATGCTAGCAGACAAATTATGCTATTTTTACATTTATAACAGACATCATGAATATTTCATGAAAACAGGAACTAACATTTTTATTATTGTTATTATTATTATTAATTACCCCTTTCAGTATGTATGGTATTAAATGGCACCCGTAGGGATAACATATTGACATAAACTCCAAATAAACCTGAAAAATTTATGGGTGTTTGCCCAAAAGGGGACTTTGATAATCATGCGGACTATCATAAACAATAATACGTTGTTAATTATTACTTAATTATAATTATACTTAATTAATTAAGTATGTTAATTGGGTTTGATAATCATAAGTCGTAGCTTTAGCAAGCAAACTTTACATAATGAATGGTTGATCTTCCAAACGTCAATTTAGATGAAATATCTGCAAAAGGAAAAAAAACAAAACAAACAAAAAAAAAAACATGGAAAGTGGGTCAGCAGAGATGGCCTCCTTTTCCCCTTATCATGGCTCCACTGACAGCAGGTAATGCAAACGATTTTAAATGAGAAATCAGCAAATGTTGCTTTCATTTCTTTTTTACCCCTCTAAGGTGACAATGAATTTGATTTAATCCTGTTTTGTTTGATTATTAAAATAAGGGCACTTCTGTATTTCATTTTCTGTGACGGAGACACGAGCGCTACTCTTTGCAGAGAAAAAACAGGAGGTCTTCCCCACACAGCCTTTTCGAAAATCCCACTTTTTCTAAAGGTCGGCTTTAAAACGATGTAGGAAAACTGTAGCTAATCCCCCTACAGGCCAGCGCCGGACAGCAAGACTTTCCTTTGCATGGCCTAATTGCGGTTAATTGCGCCTGTAAAAAGGTGTTGCAGCGCATGGAATCATTTGTCCAACCCAATGAGGTGCCGGAAATATGCAGAGACCTCAGCTGCATTGGGTCGGTTCATGAAGGTAATTCAGGCATCTAAAAAAAAAAGAAACAAAAAAGAAAAAGTTTTGTGGAAAAGTCTATTTTCCAACCTTTTCTGTCAGCTACTAATGAATTCAGTCATTTTAGGACAAAGGTTTATTGATAAAGCGTCACTGCGCTTCTATAGAAAACAATAGACTACACATTTGAAGACCACTGATGGCTTCATGTTCCAATTGTCTATCGATTAACGCTGCTTCTGAGCCTTTTACCTGTGCAGCCATTGTCATATTTTAAAATAACCATTTAGATTCCCCCTATGTCACACCAAGATTGATAAATGAATTATTACAAAATAAGAAAGCGCACAGGCCTTTATCTCATCTACACAACAGATAGGCTTCATGAAAATAAATAAATAAATCAATAAAAAAAAATAATAAATAAATAAATCACCCACAGTTAATCGGCCTACCCCCTCCGTCCCTTTCCTGGGGATCCAATCGCTCCAAATATCCAGTGAATTCAATTTAATTGTGTCTTAATATAATCAATTGGCCTAATGAATGCTTACTTTTCACTTCAATTTTCGAGGGAAAAAAATTATTTATATATATATATATCACTTATATATATATATATATATATATATATATATATATATATATATATATATATATATATATATATAAGGGCGATTTTTCTCCAGTAGCGGCAGACTGGAGCGAGCTTGGCATTAATTTAAACAAAAATATAAATATTGTTATCAAATTAATGTTTGTGTAGCTTGTTATTAATAACGCTTGTAAGAATAAGAATCAAAAGTTGTTTTTTTTTTTTATAATATTTCGTTCGATTAAACTGAGGAATTACTTTCTTTTTCCTCCAAACAAACTGATCTGCACCGCTCTCCCGGCAGACTGCAGTTCCTCCGTCACCACCGATCCTTAATAGGCTCCAGCACATAGAGCCGCCTTTATTCAGCCAAACTAGAAGGAAACCATGACATGTGGGCTGGAGGCCCGACACCACATGAATATAACGAGCAGCCTGACAGCATTGGGGAGGGGGGAAACTTTGCCTCTTAAAAAAAAAACAATAATAAAAAATAATAATAACTAATAATAATAGTAATTATTATTACTGTTATTATATAACAGACTTTTATAATATTACAACTTAACAATAACACTATGGCTGTTGTAACATATAGCTCATTTACTAGGCCAAAATTCAAATTTTATAATAATAATTATTATTATTACGTTGTTATTATCATTGTTATTATAGTAATAATAATAATAGTAATAATAATAATATGAAACCATAATAAAAATAAACATACCAAATAACTTCTATTCCTAAAAGGAAATTTTAATACAGGAGATTATCAATATATCCTTAAAGTTTGTGTCACCTCATTGCCTAAAGGTCTGGTCTGGAGAAAATAAAATACCTTGATGATCTTACATGTTGCTCTCAGAAGTCCGCAGACCAACATATTGAACGAACTGCTGCTGCATGCAACAAAAAGCATACAAACAAACAAACAAACAAACAGAGCAACAAACAGGTTGGACTAAATAAATCGTCGTTGACTGATAGAATAGACTGTCCCCAATCCTGCAGGTGCGGTTCTGCGCTTACACAATATGGGTTAAACACTCATGCAAGAAACAACTGCTGCAGATACAATTCTAACAAATGGTAAAATAGCTGTGGAGAAAAAAAAAAGAGGGAAAGCAAGACCTTTCTCTGCTGCTGGAGGGTCCATGACTCCGTCAAACAGCTGCTGGCTGCTGCTGGTCCTGAGGGCAACGAGGTTTATACACACTCAGTCTAACACACACACACATACACACACACACGGTTACAGCGGGAATCACACACCCTCTCTCGCAAACACACTCCTCACAACACCAAATCATACCCTGTAAACTTGTTGCAGCAATCGAGCCCTGCTCCTATTTTTGCTCACTTGTGCGTTAATGAAGTTAAAAATAACGCCTGGAACCTGAGCTCTTTTTGGCCCAAACTCTGCCATGACGCATCAGCTGAGCAGGCAAGTTTCTCTAAATCTGCAAAAGAAAAAAATATATATAATAAAAGACAGGAGGAAATTGCAGCAATATATAACAAAAACAGTTGCGACAAAATTATGACATGCGAGGAATATTTATGCACATTTTAATATTTATTGTAAGGTAAAAATAGGAGTTTGTTTCATTGGAATAAAATGCGACCTTGACCTCGGCACCATACCTCACTGCGTCCCGCCGCCGCGCTGCAGAAAACCAAGCAGCCTCTGTTTAAAGGGGTAAAAAATCCAGGACGGCGCTGGCAGCAGCTGAATGGGGCGGATGGGGCAGGGGAGACCGCATGGGTGAGAAGGGGGAAGAGAGTGAGGGGGATAGCATGGGGATGGCGGTGGGGAGCAATGGTGAAGAGCGAGCAGGAGGAGGAGGAGGAAGAGGAGGAGGAGGAGGGGAAGAGATAAGTGATCTAAAGGGGAGACGATAGGACAAAAAAAAGTGATGATGATGAATACATTGGAAAGTTTTTTGGCCCGGGCGAGGGTGTCAGATTGAATGGCCTGTGCGCATGTGCGAAGGTGTCCAAACTGACAATGCTGGTGAGATGAAGATAGTGTTGTTGCTGCTTCTGGGCTCACGGAGGACGACGAGAGGAATCTACAAGCCGACAAGATGAGATCCAAGGCGAGGGCGAGAAAACTGGCTAAAAGTAGGTCTTCTGCTTCTTTCTTTTTTCCCCGTCCTTATTTCTAAACGCTTCCAGCCGCCGGCTTCCCAACTCTCCCGGCTTCGTCCCGGGGCAAAGTTTCCTTGTCAATTGCAACACAGCCTTTAAAAGAGAACTTGTTTGTCTGCAGATAACTTTTCTTCTTAGTGTTGGCTGCCCGGTCTTGTTTCCCTGCATGTTGCGCTCTTGGTTTTGCTGATCCCTGCGTCCACAAAGTTTCACGCGTGATGAGAAAAGCCGCCGGTGCTTTGTAGCATGGTCACACTTCTTTAAAAGCATAAATAAACACATCGTTGTTCAGATCAACATTTTCCTTTTTTTTTTCTCAGTCAGGTCTGTTGTCTGTCGGTTCCTCAAATGCGCAAATATCTCAATTTTTTGTCGTAGAAAGTTGTCGAATCGCAAAGTAACTTTGTATATGGAGAGTCGGTCCAGGTCTGGTGTAAATGAAATGTAGTGGGCGCTGTGGCACCGCTCTGCAGAGCTGCTTGCACAGCTCGCTCAGTTCTGGAGTCACTATGTTGGCTCCAAAAAAAAAAAAAAAAAAAAAAAAGGATACGCCGAGATGCGTATTTGTGCGAGAAAAAAAAAATGCAAGTGAGATTTGAAATGCACGGTTATTTGAAATCTCAGAAGATATTTGCCTTTTTTTTTATGCCAGGGCCGCCGGGGCTGCTGCTGCTGCTGCTGCTGACTGGTTCCTCCTCATGGGAATGCCAATCAATAATATGTCCAGCAATCGCCCCTATACTGCTGCGGCTGCTGTTTCTGAGGGGACTGCATGCTGCTCGCGTCACACGGAAAAATTCATGTATTCGTGTTTCCTTTTTTCTCCTTGCGAACATGAGCAGTTTTGTTGTCAGGCGAGGAACGTGTTTATTGTTTGACATTTGTTTATTGATGGTGCATTGATTCATGAATCGTGTTTACTTTATTCTTGCATGAATGAATTTTGGTTTCATACGGCGTGTTTTTTATGAGTTCCCACTGTTGAATCCAACCTACTGACGACCTGTAAACCTTGTTGCTATTTTTCTTACAGTATTTTAATTAAATTTTATTTCTTAAATTTTATTAGATAAAATTAATATAATTTTAAGGATTATAATGCTTTTTTGTGCAGCCATATTGCACGCAATTAATTGTATCCTGCAAGGAAAACACAAAAAATAGCTATTACCTCTGGCTTTTTTGATTAAAATAAATAATGTAAAAAAAAATTATCTAATTTTTGTATATGCATACATTTTTTCGTAGCTCACTATGTGGAGATCAAGCTCTAATTTTTAAAGGCAGAGAAAGGAAAAAAAAAAAGGTACACAACCCAGAGTAGCCCTATTACCCTGCTTTATTGAATGAGGTTACTCCAAACACGTCGAGAATTGGGGTTCTTTTTACCAAGAGGTAATTACACTTTGTCTTGATCTTCAAATAGCCTTGATAGCCTGTTGATCCGAGTGCACAAACGCCTGGCTTTGGAGCAGTCGCTCCGCAGCACTGGCAGACCGCCTCTATGCAGGCCTCGGTTCTGTTGTGTGGCAGCCGTAGCTATAGGAAAAACAAGAGCAGACAGCTGGCATGAAAAATATCTTGTTCTCCTCAAACATTCAAAACACATAGGCCCACAACTTTTGAATATGACGCGCACTGAACTTGCGCACCTCAATTTTTCTGTTTTTCCATTCTTTTTTCTGAGCCCTCTGAGTATTGGAGGCCTGCATCAGATAGCCTATCCAGCAGCTGTTTTAACATTTTATTTTTAGGTTCCACCGTGGTCGATTTCTACGCTAGAAACATCAGATATATTATCTTACTGGACTCTTTACTAGTTATATTTATATATAAACTGCAGCCAAGGTTAAGCCATTTAAAGGAAATACATTTACTATGCATCACTTATTTTTTCTGTTTTACATTTTATTTCCATTTTACATTTAATTTTTATCTGCATATTATTTTTTCAATTAAATATTGTTAAGTCGTTTTTTAACTATTGTGATTCATATCAATACCCATATATATATGTGCAGACTGAAGTGTTTGTTTCTGTGTGTGAGTGTGCGGCCGTGTACCGTTTAAAGAAGAAAAAAAAAAGCTAACACCTTGCGGCTGTTTTATTGTGGTATTCTTCTGGGCCCATTTGTAGCTTTTAAATTGGTTTTGGATCAATTAAGGGCTTCCGCTTGAGTGAGTGGAGATTTATTTTCCCCTGTAGTTTCTTTTCAGGGCACGTGTGCAGACAAAAAGCCGCACGCGCGCGCGCACATTCACGCGGACGGGATCAAGCGCACATGCCCAAAGCTGCTGTAAATATTCGTCCGGTGACCTCTCTCCCAAAGCGAGAAGAAATATAATAGAAATGGAAACATGAACCGAGGTTTTCATGTAGGCATTGGAAGATGTTTTTTTTAAGACTTTATTGATTATCAACACCATTTCAGCACAATAATAATAATAATAATTATAGTAAAAAAAATAAATAAATACAAAAATAAACATAGCTCTTTATGTTGACAGACCACCTGCATTCATTTCGATCATTTTCTGCTGATTCGGTTAGCTGAGGAAACGAACACATTATCTAGCACTTCCCACTTCTCTGACCTCTACGTTGTCTTTACACATTTCCAAATATCCCTGTGATCCTTGCGTTAAAGGGCCATTATTAGAATGTATGCTCCCCAGTCATGAACTTGGCCCGGCTCAACAGCTTCTTATGTTTTGACAGAAGTAATAAAACCCAACCCATAACACTTGAAAACCAACAATGGTCGCTATGTTTAACTTCTGGCTAAACGCTCAGGGTCTCCCATGTATCGCTGCCACGCAGCTGTAATGTGTCACACAGCTCCCTTTCACATTCGCAGATTAGAGCCTGTGCCTATAAATGATAGGATCATCTAATGTAAAAGGAAATCACGTCTGCCTTTTGAAATTTTATTAATCACCTTTGCGTTTTTCACAGCCTCTCTCGATTGAAATATCATCATCCAAGAATATGTCTGAGTGTGTGTGTGTGTGTGTGTTGCAGTTGAATGCAATACATTCACCACTGTTTTAGCTTTAAGGTTTTAAGTAATAATAATTGTATATGCTCTGTTTAATCTACACTGGAAAATGATCCAGAAATAAGTAAAAGTGTCTTAAATTAAGTGTATTTACCCTTGATTTGAGTAGTTTTCCAATGGAATGAGTACTGTTACTCTTAAAATAAGATAATTGGATAATATAGACTTGAAATGAGACAATGCAATTTTGTTTTCTTATTTTAAATCTAAATTGTCTTGTTTCATTGGCAAAATGTTCCTTTTACCTCCTCAATTCAAGAACAAATGCACTTATTTTAAGAAAAAATTACTTATCTATTTTTTTCCAGTGTAGTAGCACGTTTCATAGGAATAGCTTTTGTTTTGAACAGCTATAATTTTTTCGTATTAAAAATTTATTTTCAGTTGGATGCATGAAGCTTAACATTTTTAAGCCTGATTCAAGGCAGTGATCAGAATTTTATTGGATATGTTTTGCCGATGATATAGCTACAGACAAAGAAAAACAGAGCATGGCCTGGTCTTCTCAATATACTATTAGTTGATTATCACAACTAGAAACTGCTTAATATGTGCAAAAACATACTTGGCTCTTGAATCTCATGAAAACAAAACTGATAGATTGTTTTTCTTATTCTATTCTTTGTCATCATCACAGGGAATCCAGCATTGCTTTGCGACTGCAATATTGTAATTGCATTTTGGTTCGTTGTACAGCTGTATTTATTAATGTGGTTTGGCCAAATTTGCAGCAAAGTTTACAGATATGGTGTATTTCTCATCCTGTAATGTGATGCTTAGTCTTTTTATATGCTTATTTTAGATATAGTTTTCTAAAATAAACATGTTCTTAGGAAATATAGATTGCCATATTTCTTTAAGGTCTGTCAATTCAGATTTTCTTATTGTAAAGGACTATAACTAATAGAAGAGAAAGCTGCCCTGCAGATTTTGTTATAGTAGACTTGAATCCAGGAGGAAAAATAATAAATCAAAAGAAAACCTGCATTATCAGAGGAAAGATGCCCCAAACCTTTATATCATTTATATTCCCTCTGATGAAATAAATATGTCAGTGTGTATTCAGCTGGTTGATGTGTTTAAAATGGTGAAGGAACCCAGGCGTGATGCTTTAATAAAAATGAAAACCGTTCAGACATTAAATTTTTTTTTTATATATTTATTTTCATTATTGACCTATCAGTCAGGAATAGAGCCACTCAAGGCATATCTGACCGATTCAGATCTTCTGTTTGTATGGTAAAGTATGTTTTTATTGCACCTATTCAATCACTGAAGGTTGATAAAATTATAAAGAGTTTAATTGTGAGTATATAATCACCAGCAAGACACTATGATTCATAAATACAATATTTAAAACATTGAAGAGGCATATCCCCTATCAAGTTGTAGGAGTAGATTCATAGTGATTTGTAATGCAGCAGATGAACAAGTTCTCACCTATTTGATAGCAGCGAAACTTACATAGAAATCACTTTCAGATCAGCAGAGAATCAAATTGAATAGAATTAAAATTTTTGGTCAAGCTGTTTTATTTCTGATTCCAATTTTGTATCATTTTATAAACTGGTTAATCATTTCAGGTACTATATAACCACTCTATATTATATTAATTCATTTTATGTTTGGTTAAATCTCTTCCCTGTCTGACCTGAATAATCATTAAATGTGTTTTTTGAACTCTTAAGAACTTGACGTTCAATAACAGCTGTAAGCACTGCAGAGGGTTTGGACTGATGTGATTTGAAAAACAGGAGGTAGCTCTAATGTAGGTAACTACATTCGGTAAGATACAAAATTATTTGAAGCAGCCCCTGTAAAGGAGTTTCATTTCGCTTCCACCCTTCTTCTTAAGGAGCACCAGTACCAATTCTTGCAAAATTTAGTTGCATAGTTTCTAATTTAATTTCTTAA